CAGGTCGTCACAGGGGGTCACAAATTCTGTTGCCGACGGAGACGCACTTGCTCCCACCATTGAGCTGCGTAATCCGTGAACTCATACGTAGCCAGGGCGATCTTCTGTGAATCTATGTAGTGACCGCACTGAAAGAATAAAAGTATCTTGCTCTCCCAATCTAAATAAGAAGAGGCATTGATTGTACCCTGGAATGTTGGAATTGAAAGCTTAATTCCCCGCAGCTCCGTCACCGGTACGTCCTCTATTTCGCGATTCATCCTGGAGAATCCTCTTTGATACGAGTTGAGCAGTTGTGGGTCATTAGCATTGACATCTAGGGCTGTCAATTTCCTTTCAAGCTCCAGTACACGTTTGGCCAGCGCTTGTTCTTTCCCTGTGTTTCCCGTCCTTGTCGGAGTACTCTGATTTGCCAGCGGTAGGCCACCGTGTTCGTAGGCGACATGAGTCCAGAGTGGAATTGCTGCCATGTGCCCACCCAGTTGGCTTAAAGTCGCTACTTGTTGGGTCAGAGTGTCAAACTTATTCGTTATCTCCTTGAACTTTTCCTCCTGTTTGTCCAATTGACGCTGAAGCGGAGCAGCTACTTGTTCTTGGAAGAATTGATGTAGCCCCATCATTGTGACAGGTTGATTATCATCTATCGCCGAATTCGTAGGGGTATCAGCTGGCGTTGCATTGTTTTCGAGCGATTGGGTCGCTGCTGCTGCTTGTTTCTTCTTCTTCTTCTTCTTCTTCTTCTTCTTCTTCTTCTTCTTCTTCTCGGAGAGGAGGACATGCGGATTACTAGGAACAAGGCCTTTTGACCTTGTCCGGTACGTTGTTCCTTTGTTGCTTTCCTCCGTTGGAACAACTCCTCTGCCGCTGTGTAGAACCAGGCTATAGATGCCACTTGATGAGGCCCAAGGCGGGTCTCAAAGGAATCAAAGTTGCGCAGAAGCTAGATCAAACAAGGCCCTTGATCTCAAGTAGAGCCGAGCGCATGAACCAACTCGATTTAAGCGAATTCGAACTCAAAATTGGATGGATAGAATGGGAATCCTTACACGTGGAAGGATGCACGATCGAGTAGTGAAGCTTTTGATGTGAACGAGTGTGTTTGCTCATTCAATAAGCCGGCCAACAAACTTTGATCGCAATCAAAGCCAACTCAAACTCTCAAACTCTTAAGCCTGGGAATTAGGTAAAACTTAATTCAATTCAACTCTACCTCTTACATTACCTTCGTATGTCCTTAAATAGAACTTATATCAACCTTAAACGCAAAGGAAACCCAAATCAACAAGGAGAAACAAAAACAGTCCAATTCCTAAAGCAACACGGAAACTTAAAACGCAAGTAAAACACAGTTTTGATGCCATCTTCAGAGCCCTCGTAAGCAGCCTTCCAGTTGTCGAATTGATCACCCAACCCCTTGCTTTTGTACTAGAAAATACAGGCTTTCATGTGGTATGAGCCGTGAGATGCGATTCCCAACAGGCTTTCGTGAAACGGACCCCAAAGTGACCTGCTTGCAACTGCCCCATGCCTTAGGCAATTCCTGGCAGCTTGCCTGTGTTGCCATAGGGTTTTGTCGAGCTTTAAAACAACATTTTCCAGCCTCCCCTTGAAGTCCCAGCCATACCCATTTGTTCAGCAACTCACAAGGTTCAAAGCAAACCCTCCATCTCCAAATTCTATCAATCCACACGCAAGAAACAGGCCGGCAAAGAACGATACCTGAAACAACTTCAACACTTAATCAAAATTCCAGATTCTGCCTTCCACTTGAACTTGCCTCCTCATCGATCCATGGAAGCTTCGATGGTACGTAAATTGTGATCATATCAACAATTGAGTTCCAATCTTCTCATGGCATTAAACGAAAGACAGAGTACATATTTATAGGCATAAAAGTCTCTACCTTTTCCAGTCTAGAACATGACTCATACTCCTATAAGGAAGCTACTAACAATAACCAAATCGTACTTAAATAAGGAAACTACTAATAAAGACAATAATAAATAAAGTCTAACAATAAAGATAACTAGGCCCATATAATTTGCCCAATTGCTACGATGGCCCAATTCTCGTAACAGCTGAACAATAAGCAAGTATACTGACACAACAAGTCTTGGATTTAAGAAACCCATGTTCATCAAATGAATCTAGAATCAATGTTATTAATGGGTCAAACTTAATACAGTACCTAGTGGCCTTTGAACAACCAAGTATGCATAACACCAAAGAATTGTAACAGAAAACCAATGCGTTTTACCCGATCACCTCTCTAGCCAAAAGGCGAGCGTGCCCTCACATTAAGGAATTCTTGGTTGAAAATGCATGATCTGCATAATGTGTAACTAGAAGACCACATCACCAATCAAGTACATTTGTAGTAAATAATGATCAAATCACTTTGAGAAAGAGCTGGACCAAAAAGTTTCATCAAATCAAGTTTGAATAGTATCTAGTAACCTGCACAAATGAGGTAACCTCATATAGGTTGTTCTCTAGTATGAACTAAAACCAAAAGGATTGGTGTAATAAGATGGCATAGGAAGTAGATTGCGTCATTTTAACCTCCAAATTTTCACATAATTAATTTTTTAACAATAAGCGTGCAATCTAGATTCTAGGGCGCAAGGGTAAAGTCAACCTAGTGCCTTTCGAAACAACCAAGTATACTTAACACCCTAAACATCCACCAAAAGTTAACACACCATTTTGAAAACCATTGGCGTAGTAAGTACGTATCCTAATAAGTTGTTTATTAAAATATGATCAAATGGAGGTTTAACTGAATTTGTAAGAGAATATAAGAGATTAGGGATGAACATATACATAATCAAATTCTTAAGAATAGAAAACCTAGTAGCCTTACCCAATTTTAACAATCAATGAAGCAACTGTAGTTGTCAGACTTGTTGAGATTCAAAGGGGATAATGATTCTTGATCTAGTCCCAAGGCATTCCAAATGTAGTGCTTCCCAATCACAACCCCTCTAACCACCAATTTGTTAATGGGATGCGGTTTCTCATCTCCGTATGAACTTTGAATAGTTGAAAATAATGATGAGCCTGCGATTGTTTCATGACTGCGACGCAAGAGTACATGGTGAGCCTGCGATTGTAAAAAAAAAACATCTTAGCTTTTAATGTTTCGTGGCACACTTTCGTTAAATGGAGGGGAGTAGGTTTGTTGCTACGGAGATTGAAGGCTGGAGATTCTGATGCAGAGCGTTGGAGAGGCGGTCATGGGTGTGCTGGTAGTGGGTCGTGACAGTAATTAAGACCTGTTAACTCTTATTGAGGACTTTACTTTCGCGTTCTACAAATCGCCAGAAAACAGCTTCCCTAAATACCCTTCTGAGAATTGTTATGAAGGCAGGAAATTTGAAATGGAGGTCACACTATTTATAAGATAGATAAAATTTAAATTAATTGTTAAACTACTATTAAAATCATCTAAATATGAAAATCTAAGTATACTTAGTGAAGATTTACTAGGCTAGCTAATCTTTGGAAAGTCTTGAAATTTTCCAATTTTAGCTTCATTTATGTTTTTTATTTAAAGAGATACAATAAATCTATGTGTTGTGATTTGTTACGACCCTTGTATTTATTTAAAATGACCCTAGTTAAAATCCTATTATTGTTCTCTTTTTTCCATGAATAAATAAAAAAGAAATAGATGATTGTGAACACAAAATAAGAAAGAGTATTTTGTTATGACCCTTGTATTTATTTAAAATGATCCTAGTTAAAATCCTATCATTGTTCCCTTTTTTCACGAATAAATAAGAAAAATAGATGATTGTGAAGAAAAAATACTCTTCCTACTTTCACTCTCGTTGTGGAAAATTTTAAATGGAAGACACACTTTTTATTTTACTATTATATTATGTATAGATAGATTAGTGGGTATTTTTTTCATTAATCAAACACATAACATAATTTCTCAAACCAAATCTCTTTTCCTCTCTTTCTGTTTCGATCGAACCTTCTCCTCTCTCCCTCAAGCTCTCCGTCGGCCACACGTGGCCAGCCGATCTCATTCCCCTTCGTTCCTCTTGTTCTCGAACTCCCCTCTCTTTCCCTCATCTCATTCCTTAATAAATCCCTAATCCCAAATTTCCTATCGATATGATCTCAGATCTCTAAATGGAAGACGCTTAGATCCGAGGTTTCTTTTTTATTTTATTCTTACAGTGGTATCAGAGCATGGGTGACACTCTTTCAGATGACATAGACTACTCAATATTGGACATCTTCCAACAACTTGAGTTATTGATAATTGATTTTCGATATAGTGTTAGAAACATAATTATTTGGGGTTTCATTGCTTTCGGATTATTTATCATTGTTTTGTGAATTAGTACTATTTGGGGAATTTGGGAATAAGTAGGGGGTTATTAGATAAGTCGAATTAGTGAGGCAGTTGAAAGTAATTAGAGGGAATATATATTCTGTAATACGTAGGTTTGAGAAGGCAGGCAATTACAGGAAATAATTCCCAACCCTAATCATCTCTCTCTCCTTCCTCTTTCCTCTCTGTGTCCCTCCTCTCTTCCAAAAGGCAGCAGCCGCTGCGTCCCCTCTCCTCCCTCATTCTTCTAATTCTACTCAAATCCCAATCCCTAGATTGATCAATCCCTAATTGATCAGTCTAGTTTCTCATTCCCAAACGGTTAGAAATCTTTGTTTCTATCATTTGGTATTAGAGCCCGGTTACGAATACGAGTTCATCACAACTCTCAACCGGGACGAGTTCTACACCCTGTTGTCGGCACTCAAATCAAATCCATCTATTGCTTCCAAATCTAGGTTTGGCGGCAACATAAGAATCCCACTTGTGGAATTATTGTACTCAAAGGAAAAGGAACTAGTATTCCTTATTGTGGCGCACCAGCAGAAGGTTTGGGGTAGGGATTTGTTTCCCTCTAGCAAAGCTCCCGCAGCGCTACTGTTATCATCCGCGACAAGCTTTCCGGTTTCGCATCGACAACATTCTTGTGACCATGGCAATAAGCTCTCTCGAGGTCCTTCCAGCGGCGACGAAGGCAGTTGAGGCCAGCCTCACTCAAGCAATCACTCAACAGTTTGCAGAACTCCGTGCGATGATTGAAGACCTCGCCCAATCCACCACCGCCAAATACCAAGCCCTTGAACAGCGGATTGAAGCGCTTGAACAGCTTCCGGTGCTGGCTACCACGATTATAGATATGCCAATCACTCCACCAGCACCGCCTCCACTAGGGGACAAGGAGATGATGAAGGTTGTCGTCCCAGATGGCTCTAGCATTCCGAAAGCCACAGCGACGATTCCGCAGCTTGGCAGGCAACCACTCGAAGTTGGATTTCCGTTGGTCAGCCACCGTGGAAATCACATCAACTCAGATCCCGACAGGCAGCTCGACGACAACTTCGGTGATGAACAAGGCACCGACTTCTAGAAACCAACTTCCGTTTGATTTCTATGATTATTATTATATTAGAGTAATTAGTCTTTTAGTCGTATTAGGTTAATTGTTAGGATTTTACGGTTCTTTCCTATATATGTACGTTGTTATTCGTCTATTTAATCAATAAGAAGAATATTAAGAAAACCCTTCCAAACCCTAATCTCCCTATCCTCTCAGTTCTCGCTCTCAATCCATCTAAAGGCCTAGGCCGATTCTGTTCTTCTTCTTTCCCTATTCCTCAATCTCAATCCCTAATTCTATCGCCAAATCCCTAAATTTCCAACCAACCACCACTATCGATAGAACCCTAGAAATAGGTTTCTATCATTCGGTATCAGAGCTGAGGAAGATCCAATTCCCGGGTTATATCATAATTATTATTAATAGTATTTATTAGGATTTATTTAGATATGGTTAGTTGTCTTTGAGTTATATTAGGATAGTCTGTTAGGGTTTTCCATTCTTTAGCTATAAATATGTACTTGGGGTTTATGTTATAATCAAGCAAGAACAATTATTCAGAAAGTATCTCCCAAAACCCTAATCCTTTATTCTTCCTCTTCCCCATTTTCTCAATCTCAATCCCTAATTCTATCCCCAAATTCCCAATCAACCAACACTATCGATAGAACCCTAGAAATAGGTTTCTATCATCTGGTATCAGAGTCTGGTTCCGGATACGAGTTTGTCACAACTCTCAACCAGGGATGAGTTCTACGGTGATGGCAATACACTCTTTTGAGACCTTTCCTGCTGCGATGGCGATAGTTGAGGCCAACCTCACTCAAGCAATCTCTCAGCAGTTTGCGGAACTCCGTGAGATAATTGCGGATCTCGTCCAAACCGCCATCGCCAATAAGCAGCCGCAAAACTCAGCTTCCGGGACGGTCGAACCAATGCCGCCGAAGGAGATTGCAGCCACATCGTTCTTCCCTGTCGCTGCTGTTTCACCATCGGCACTGCTCTTGGCTGCATCCAGCCCATCTACCATGAACGAGAAAGATCGCCCCAAAGAGAGGGAAGATGCGAAGATGACTGTCGAGATTCCACTTGAGCCGAAGCAAATAGCTGCTCCAACAACTGTAGTGGGTTCGATATCTTCAGCCACGATCAACACCGTCAATAGCGAAGGGCAATGGGAGCGTGATGTTGGGATTAGCTTCACCAAACAGGTCGCTAGCAAGCCAAACCCAGTTCTATGGGGCTTTCCAACCGACAGATGGAAGTTCAGGAAGAAGACACTAAGATCCGACGAGGAAGAATGGGTGGTTATAGCGTCGTCCACTCCTTTTGCCTCGCCCTCGTCGTTACTAGTCAATGCGACAGTCAAGGGCTGGGTGATAATGACATACATCAAATGGTCGGCTCGCAGGGAGACGATATTGAAGACGTCAGCGGGATCGCTCAGGACGTCGTCGATAGGGAGAGCAATGTTGGGCGGATCGAGTTTGTCTTCCTGCGGCTTGGTGAGCAATTGGCCGCCAAAGGAGTTTCCGGAAGAGGGAAAGAAGAAAGATGGCAGTGGTGGTCACTCTCTCCCTTGTCAGCCACTATGTTCCATTCCATTCCTCGAAGCTCAATTGCAACAAATTGGAGTGAGTAAGTTGGAAGCTCGAAGAGAGCAGCGGAGGAGACAACTGATGGGTGATCCTAGGCTAGCGCCGATTGGTGAGGAGGCGAAAATAAGGAAGATGTCGATGGAGGATTTGAAGTCGGAGGGAGAGTCCGATCGAGTGGTTCGCCGACTCACTTCGGCGATCGGCGGGGAGAAGTTGATGGCGGAAGGGAGCTCGTCTCGACGCCGTCGGGGGAAAAAGACCCCGCCGGAGAGCGAGATGAAGAGGTCATCGTCGGGGCTGAGAATGGCGGCGAAGGCTGGGCTGCTTTCGGGGACAATGAAGTTGCCGGAGGAAGCCGAGGAGAAGATGGGGTCGTCGGGTGGAAGAACGTAGGAGGATGGCGGCGGTTCACTGCCACCGATCGACGAGCATGCAAAACAGATGGCGACACTGCCCGAAAGAAGAATGGAAGAGATGGGAGCCGAGCTCGGGGAGATGGAGCAGAAGGCGATGAAGGCCCGGCTGAGTTGGTTTTTCCGTCGCCTGAAGAGACTATCGCAGCCGGGAAAGGAAGAATCGGCAACGGAGGGGAGGAAGAAGCTGGTGGCGGGAGGCGGGAATGGGGGTGGCACCCTTCCGCTTGCAAACCCTAAGGTTGCTCCCTTGCTTTGGGATGAGCAAGTAATTGAGTATGGGCGAAAGACAGAGTGGCAGAGCGGGCCAAGCCTGACAGAAATGTGGGTCGAGCTTGTTCATAGGCTAAGTCTTCAGAAGTGGATAAGGCTTATGGTGGATTGTTTCTTAAAGAAAATAGACTTGGATGAAGAAGATGGTGGGTTTAATGACTTGGGAGGTGGGCTTTTGAGAGAACAGAGCCCAAAAGCAATTAGAGAGACATCAAGGCAAGTTTATGGGTTTTCTACAATAAAACTCTTTGAAAGCCTTAATGAGTTGATTATTAAAGACAACTTCTTGTACCAACCAGTATCTTTGGATTCCGTAGTTCGTTTGGGGTGTGAGGCCAAGAAAAGAGAAGCTATTGAATTTTGAATTTGGCAAAGAAGCGAATAGTGGGCCCATGGAAGTGAAGTTCGAAAAGTGGGACCAGCACAAGAAGGCCAACGCAAGAAGCCCAAGTCGAGTAGTGGAGCATGATTGGAAGAAAAGGAAGCACAAGAAGTGGAGGATACAAGGCGCGATCTACATGAGAGATAGGATGAAGAAATGGGTCGAGTCGGTCAACCTTGAGGGCAAGGTTGGTCTCAAGGGGGAGGGGATGATAGAAACCCAATTCCTGGGCTATATCATAATTATTATTAATAGTATTTATGAGGATTTATTTATATATGGTTAGTCGTCTTTGAGTTATATTACGATAGTCTATTAGGGTTTTCCATTCTTTAGCTATAAATATGTACTTGGGATTACCGTTATAATCAAGCAAGAACAATTATTCAGAAAGTATCTCCCAAAACCCTAATCCTCTATCCTCTAATTTCTCGACCTCAGTCCTTCCAAGGCTTCGTCCGATTCTATCTTTCTATTCTTCCTTTTTCCAATTTCCTCAATCTCAATCCCTAATTCTATCCCAAAATCCCCAAATTCCCAATCAACCAACACTATCGATAGAACCCTAGAAATAGGTTTCTATCATCACCGAGACCGAAGAGCTGAGGAAGATAGTTCCCAATCAACCTAGATCGAAGACCGAAAAGCTGAGAAAGATGGTAGAGAAGCAGACCGGGAGACAGATGCGGGTCGTGGAGGGTCTGAAAGGACTGCAGGTGAAATCGAAGGACCACGAGCGCACCCTTGACGCGTTGCTGGCGGCGCTCGAAGCGCTGCAAGGTTAGATGAGCATCCTGACGGCTACGTCGGAGGCGACTCGCGCGCTGCTAGAGGCCTTGAAGGGAAGAGGGAAGGCGAGTGGCGGCAGCAGGTGATGATAGAAACCTATTTCTAGGGTTTGAAATCATATTCCATTAAAGGTAAGCGGGAAGGCGGGTGGCGGCAGCAGGTGATGATAGAAACCTATTTCTAGAGGCCTTGACGGGAAGCTGGAAGATGGTGGAGGACATCACCAAGACTGAAGAGCTGAGGAAGAATTATGGAGGACGTTACCGAGACCAAAGAGCTGAGGAAGATGGTGGAGAAGCAGACCGGGAGATAGACGCGAGTCAAGGAGGGTCTGAAAGGGCTGCAGGTGAAATCGAAGGACCACGACCGCACCCTTGACGTGTTGTTGGCGGCGGTCGAAGCGCTGCAAGGTCAGATGAGCAGCCTGACGGCTACGTCGGAGGCGACTCGCGCGGCGTTAGAGGCCTTGAAGGGAAGCAGGAAGGCGGGTGGCGGCAGCGGAGAGCCGACCGAGGAGGAAGCGGCGCAGGTAGAAACGGCCGCCTCAGCCAAGGTGACGGGCACGACGGCGACGGTGGTGGGCGCCTCGGCGACGGCGGCGGGCAGCAAGAGTGCCGAGCCGATCGCGGCAGGGGGGATCGGCAGAAGGGACGGGGGAGAAGACGATCGCGATGGCGGCTAACCCTAGCCGACAACCCCCCTCGCGTGCGGGCCACGTCACCTTAGGCCCAGCTGGCAAGGGAGGCCTGCTACCGACCCCGGCGGCCCAAGAAATCGCCGTGATAAGGGATAAGGCCAAAATGCCTGAGTACGTGGACTCGAACCTGCAGGAGGGCCTGTATCTGGATGAGCTGGTGGACCATGAGCAGGAGTATGACCACGGGCCGTGGTCCAATGGGTTAGGCTGGCTGGGAGCGAACGAGCTTAGCCTGGTGGGTCGAGCCAAGGTGGGCGGCGGCCCAGGGGGAAGTCGAAACGAGCCGGGCCGCACATGGGAGGTAGGGCGAGTGGTTGGTCTTGGAAAAACCAAACTGGTCGGACCGAGGTGGCGAACCGAAGTGGGTCAGACCAGCAGCGGTCGGCCCGAATCGGGCCAAGCCATGGTCGAACCGGGTTAATCGTTCGGTCAGACCAAACTAGGTAGAACCATGGATGAACCGGGTTACTCGCTCGGGCGGCCGAATCACATCAGCCACATGGGGGCAGCAGCGCCGCCAGGGCAGTTCGAGGAGTTCAGCGCTCCCTATTATCTATCTGGCCATCATCGAAATTCGAGGAGGTTCGCGGCCGGGTCATGGAACGCCGAACAGCAGAGGCAGAAGGAGGAACTGAGTCGGAAAGCGGGCTGCCGCGAGGAGGGAGATGACTCTTGGGGCCGAGAAGGGGATCCGTGGTTTTCATAGAGCTACTCCGGCGGGGCTCCAGGTTATGGTAGGTATGCTGAATATTCCCGTGGGTTTGATGCTGATGATGAGATTGTGTTTAGGGCCAAGCCTCCAACCATTGAGTTCTCGAAGTTCAATGGTCGGGAGGATGCTGGTCTCTGGGTGTACGCAGGTGAATGGTGGTTTAAGAACCACCCCACGAGGGAAGAGCGAAAGGCACAACTGGCATCATTTGACCTGGAGGGTGATGCTCTATAGTGGTGGGAGTGGATGGAGCGGACGTACGTGGAGGCACATACCCTCATCACGTGGCCCATGTTTAAGGAGGAGATACCAATTTGGAAAATCGGAAGGCTGGGCCCCATAGCAGTTGGCCAAGCTGAGACAGAATGGGACGGTCGCGGAGTACAGGGCCGAGTTCTAAAAACTGGGCAAAGGGTTTGCCGAAAGAGACCCTAGTGGGCCTGTGCATGGCGGGGATCCGCCCGGAGATCGCGGTGGCTGTCAGGGTTTTCGAACCGGATGCCCTGCGTTCTGTTTTTCGTCTTGTAGGTAGTAAAGAGGAGGAGTAGGCAAGATGGAGGGGAGTGATAGGCTACTATCAGAAGCCGGGTAGTGGAGGAGGCAGCGGCGGTACCGGAAGGCTCGACCACTGGAGGAGGTGCGGCTACAGGACCAACTACTGCGACACTCCAAGCTGGGCCTAGGGCACCTCCCAAAGGATTTACCAGGTTGTCTCCTGCTGAGATCAAGCAGAAGAGGCGGGAGGGGAAGTGCTTTAACTGCGGTGAGAGGTTCACTTTCGGCCACAAGTGCGGGAAGCCCGATTTAATATTTTTGGTGGGGTGCTGGGAAGACGAGGCGGAAGAGGAAGCCGGGGAGGACCAAATGCCGACTCAGGAATAGCTTCAACCTTGAGGACAAGGTTGTTCTCAAGGAGGCGGGGATGTTAGAAACATAATTATTTGGGTTTTCATTGCTTTCGGATTATTTATCATTGTTTTGAGAATTAGTACTATTTGGGAAATTTGGGAATAACTAGGGGGTTATTAGATAAGTCGAATTAGTGAGGTAGTTGAAAGTAATTAGAGGGAATATATTTTCTGTAATACATAGGTTTGAGAAGGCAGGCAATTACAGGAAATAATTCCCAACCCTAATAATCTCTCTCTCCTTCCTCTTTCCTCTCCAAAAAGGCAGCAGCTGCTGCGTCCCCTCTCCTCCCTCATTCTTCTAATTCTATTCAAATCTCAATCCCTAGATTGATCAATCCCTAATTGATCAGTCTAGTTTCTCATTCCCAAACCATTAGAAATCTTTATTTCTAACATATAGCATCAGAGTCTTTGATTGAGAGGTATCATCCCGTGTTTGAATGCGTAGAACCAAATATCTACCACCAAGGGGTGGCTCAAGTATTACTCCCGGGTTCAATTCTCACAACCTACCATTTTAAAGAAAATCAGTGGCCACCAACAAGACTGAATGCCTTAATCATCCACTCCGGTATCATAGCATGTTTGACGCTACTTCAGATGACATAGACTTCTCATTATTGGACATCTTCCAACAACTTGAGTTATTGATAATTGATTTCCGATATAGCATCAAAGTCTTTGATCGAGAGGTATCGTTAAGTGTTTGAATGCGTAGAACCAAATATCAACCACCAAGGTGTGGCTCAAATATTAAGGCGTGAAGGTTGATACTTTACTCCCGGGTTCAATTCTCACAACCTACCATTCTAAAGAAAATTCCTTGGTGGCCACCAACAAGACTAGAAGCCTCAATCATCCACTCTGGTGCGTTTGTCGTGTACCGTGTGTTGCGGTTGCCATTATCGTACACATCTATATATACATGCTACCATTAGTGAATTTAAACACGAAGTATCATAAATATGAGCAATTAATCGAACATATCCACAAGCAATATAAAGAGGTAGGAAGACATATGATCCCCTCACCTTAGACTCTTCTGCATTTTGTATTTACATCACCATAAGATCGATCAAAAAACCACATATAAAAAAAAACGTAGAGAAGAAACCGGTTTATATAGAACAAGAGCAAAAAATTCAAAGAATGAAAGGCGCTTGATGAATATAGCGTTAGCATGTGCAGTAGTAGTGTCATTAGTAAGGAGGACTCATATTCATAGCAAAAGATATTATAACCGACATGGTTGTTGCTATGATTCCACCACCACCTTCCTTCACCAATCAATCACCATTGCGATACCTGAGTGTTTACAGTACTGGTAGCTTACAAATGTTATGAACCCAAGTTATGACAAAGAAGCATGTGGGTTTACGACTGTGGGTTCATCTGCACAATGTTCATTGGAATATAAATTTATGATGGATCTATGGGATTGTGATATAAGATCCATTTACCAGTTGCAAGTTTGATTGGGCATCAATGAAGAGAAATGATGATAAAGGACAACAATGAGCCTTTTCTCGCAATATTCTAATGTCGTGTTAATTTTTTTGGGTACCACCCCAACAAAATAGGACATTAACTTGTGTACTTAAATACAATTGTATAAACAAACCTTTGAGCTTTGTAACAATCATAGCCATTTTTTCCATAATGAAATTATAACCTTGGACAATTTTAGTCATTTTTGTTAGAACTTTTAACGGCGTCAGATGTTTATTAACACCGTTAACAACAAGCTTATGTGGACGCCACTTCATCTGCCATGTAAGCTCCAAATTGGCATCTTATACCATTTTTGTCGCATCACATTTAAATAATTTGGAAAAATACTTTCACCTATCTTTTCCAACCCTGCGGCCACGTCTCTTCTTCTTCTTCTTTCGTGAGATCGTCGGCAACTCCGCCACCACGTGGTCGAACAAAAACAGCCCACCGCCACATCATCATTAGTAGAGCGAGGCAACTAGCAGATCCGATAACATATTAGGTGATTTACCAGACACATATAGCTTGCAGAAAGGTAAATGGTTATGAACAGAACCTAATAATCATCTTCTTCTATTAACCATGTCATTTCCAACAATGAGCTTTTTTCTATCGTTAGCTGTAGGGCTAAGCATTCGGATGAAATCTCATCAAGTAATGGTTATATCAAGTGAGGATATCATTGTCCTTTTCTGGTGAGATTTTAAACTCATTGTTACAATATCTGGAAGAAAAAAGACAGAATACAGCCTAAACAAAAGAACATGTTGATAATAAAATTGAGAACGATTGGGAAAAACTTGATGCACTAACTAACATATGCTCCATCTAGGACTGCGTGAGTGAGGGCTGACTTCCAGGGCACTCCATCACACTTTGCTCTGTTCCATGAACCGCCCTTGATTGACCAACTCCAAAAAGTTCCCCATTTGCTACATTAAGCTGTTTACCAAAAAAAAAAACTCATGAGAACGAAACCCCACTAACTTCACTTTAAATTCAACTCCTTGTTATTACTAATTGTGGAAAATGAATTTGTATTCATTCAACTCCTTGTTATTACTAATTGTGGAAAATGAATTTGTATTCATTCACTTACTTGTATTGTACCCTTACACCTCTATTCATAGGACATGTCCTTGCATTGTGTGTAGACTATCCACATTTTGTACAACGTATGTTCTTTTTGCGCTCTCTATTCTTCCCTTCTTGTTGTTGGCTAGTCCGTTTTCTTGTCAGTTTTCCAACTTGCTTGTCGTTTTCTAGCCGTGAATGTTGTGAAACATCCTGAAGATGGACGCAATGACACCAAGTAATTACAACAAGTTAAGATGTAACCTGCTATTTAATTAGTTACCCCTACACTACTCTATATAATTCAAACAAAGGAAGAAAGAAAAGATGGAACCTTCCACTTCATGAATTATTATTCACATTCCATAAACAAACATGCACAACATTAAGATATCATCACATTCATGGAGAAAACATTATTAATCGACCCTTTGCCATGTAGGAGGTTCATGTAGTTCTCGACTCCCATTCGTAACTTCTTCTTGTGTCACTTGTGTTGTGTTTTCTATGCAAATGACCATAAAAAAATATTAGGCTTCATTCGACATATACACGTTAACCAAGATCACATTCTTACCACTCCTTGGACAACTGGTGGTTCTTTTCAAGTTCTAAAGTTATGATCTTCTCCTCTATACTTGGTGCAATGTATCAATATTCCTCGTCTTTTAACTTCCTCACCAACCTCATTTCTTTGTGGGTGAGTCTCCATCTCACCGACACCCTTTCTTTTTTTTTTTTCCAGGCTGACCGGCATTGCTATGCTTTTGGGAGGGTAAATGGGATATCCTGGA